CGGTCTGTCTGCTCAATGCCCAACGTTTTCCAGGGCTGACCCTCAGGCCGACCAGGGTGCCCAGGTGACCGATTTGAACAAGGACGATTTGACGGGGGACCTTCACTCCTGTCTCCAGCTTGGCGGTTTCCTCTGCCGCCAACCCCCTGGACGCCCTGTCCTCAACCACCAGAGGCCTGGCGGCCTCGGCCTTGGCCCCTTCCTCTTCCTTGCGACCTCCCTCCGGCCACGACAACAACATAGGTACTCCCTTGACCTTCACTACTGTTTGACTTATCCATGCCCACTCGATCTCGCTGTAAGGGACCTCTTCCAAACCACCCTCTTCTAGAGTAAGGATAAGACTGTCCTTGGCCGTGACTTGGCTCGTGATGGTTTGACCTTTCCACTTTTTGCCCTTAGCAAGGTCCTTGTGCTAGAAAGTGGTTACTGATACAGACTGGGCCGCAAAAAAAAAAAGCAACAAGCATTTGGCTTAGCATGTCATACGTCATGTTAGCCTGTTGCTTTCGGGTGAAGAAGTACCCGTGCAAATTCTCGGGCATGACGCGGTAGAATAGTTAGACAAGTTGGGTATCAGTGACCCCATGTCCAGGGACAACGACAAGTATCCATGGCAGCTTTGAGTGCTCGTGCACTCCTCCACTGTTGCGTGTGGATCGTATGCAGTTTGTCAGACACCCTAATACCTCTAGTGACGTCTGCAAAGCGTTCGCGGAGGGCGGACAAAAACTCACTCAAGTTAGTGATGGAGGATTATATGACCATATCATTCTCACACTTAGCAACGCGTGCAAGCGAACTAGCAAAACTGGCCGCTTCTTCCTTCAGTGCTTGGAAGGCGATGAGAACACGGTTTTCTGGTGCGATATCCTGTAAGTGCAGATAGGACTTGATATTGGCTTCCCAATCATCAAAGTCCTCTCTCTTCTTCCCACCATAGGGTTCAGGGATTTTGACCTTGACGCGCTCACGGTGCGGCCGTACCTCCTCTTCCTTAGGGGCCGCTATCTTGGCGCCTTTTATGACACCTGTACAAAACTTTTATGTGCCTTCCATAGCAGTGCGCATTTCGCTGCCAATATTCAGCATCATATCGCGTCCAAAATCCTTGAAGCCTATGCGCATAGACTGCAGGGCGATATCATGGCCCCTAAGATAACGCAACTGCTCCTGCTGGGCTCTCAACATCACATCCATGTTCTGGGACAGGAGTTCTTTCTATAAAGATTGACCTGTGCTCCCAGTTGGCCTTGCTGCTTTTCGACTGCCTTCAGCTCTCTTTCCATCCTCTCTGCCGCCTCCATTCGCCTCATTCTTTCCCTGGCGAGGCGCAACTTCCATCCTCCTTGGCCTGTCGACGCAAGGGATTCTCCTCCCTCTCCAATTCTTGTTCCACCGCTTCTCTTTCTGCCTGAGGGACAAGCAACATGGCTTCTTCGTCCTCCCCCAGGGTTAGATTAGCGACCCACTCAGTCACCATCTTCTCCACTTTCGCCTCTCTCTCACAGGCACCACTAGATTCCCCTCTTTGTAGTACTTGTTGGTCTCACCAGAGAAACCTCCACCTTCTCCTTCTTCCTCTTCTTCTTCTTCTTCTTCTTCTTCTTCTTCTTCTTCTTCTTCTACGGCTGCTGCTGCTACTGCCTCATTTTCCTTCTGCGGCCGTTTTAAGTCTTTTTCCAATTCTTTCTCCTTTTTGGCCTTCTATGCTAGTTAAGGCCACCTTCTTGGCCGTCTTCTCCAATTCCTCCTTCTCCTTCCTCGCCTTTTGCTCTACCAAAATCTTCATGGCTTCTCTCCTTTGTGTAAGGAGTGGTCCTGCACCACCCCTCGTCGTGACTCTACAAGTAAGGGTCTGCCAAAATCCTAATGGAAAGAGCTGGCAGAGGGTCCCCCAAAAGGAGAACCCCAGAAGCAAAGAATACACAGGATAGTCATCCATGGTGTTAGGTGCGCAACCAGTGGCAGTTCCGCTCCTCACCGCGTAGACTTATCCCCAACTGACTGACTGACTGACTGACTCTCTAAAGGACCACAAAGTCTTCCCCTTAGTTCCAGGCAGGTTACCACAACTGACGGAAGCTTTCGCCACCACTGTCACCGAAACTTTCCACGATCCGGGTGCTCCTTGCACCAGCGATCAAACCCACCTGGCCTTCACTCTGGATCAGACCCTGTCAACTATGGTCACTAGCCTAACCTACTCTAAGGCTGTCACTACAGGACTCTACTGCAGATCAGGAGGCATTTAAGGAGATCCCCCATAACTCAAGAATTCTTTAATGTCGCAGTCAGGACAACGTGATCAGCAGTCCCCTCAATATTTAAGACAGTTGGATGCGCAGCCTACAACTCGGAGATCAGGCCTACCATACCACACTGAGCAGCCCGCCGGTCTGTACCGGTACTTGGGGGTCTTGTCCGCGGGACGTGTCAGTCATCAGACATGGCCTTTAGCCCTACTAAGTCCCGTGCAGGTTTGGTCACCACAGCTCTACGACCTCATACACAGAACCTATCACCTGGACATAAGTGACTCAATGCAGAAAGAAGAGACATATTGACTCAGCAAGTACCAAGGGTATGTGGACATCCACAGGGCGAGGGGACAGGCTTAACGCTTGGAGAGATTATACCAACTCCAGTTTGGTCAACGCCTTGGTCAACGGTTGCGGTCAATGCTGATCGAACTTGGTCAATGCCCGGTCAAACTTCGCCGGTTGACTTCTTCAACCTCCAACTATGGCTGCCTACCCTTCTTCTTCGTCGACCCTCTCCTTATCCCTTCCTTATTCCTCCTCACCCAACCTCCGCTATGGTTTCCTTCTCCTCCGTCTCTCCTTCCTTTTTTCTTCCTTGCCTCTTTCTTCCTTCTCTTGTTCTTCGTTACTTCTGGTCTTCTTCTAATTCAACCTCGAGCTCGGCGGCTATGGCTGCCGCTTCTTTTTCCTTGTGCAACCAATCTTCTCTCTCTCTCTCTCTCTCTCTCTCTCTCTCGCTCTCTCTCTCTCTCTCTCTCTCTCTCTCTCTCTCTCTCTCTCTTCGTCGTTGTCTTCTTCTTTCTCTTCGCGGTCTTCTTCGCACGCGCAGCGGTCTTTTCAATGTGGCGGCCCTCTTCTTCGCGGATGTCCTTCCTCGACGCTGCAGCTCTGGCTCTACAATCCAACGGGCGCGCTGACCCGCGATGGCACAATGGTGCTCAACGGGCAATGGCGCGCAAGGCAATAGCGCGCAGCGGCGCGCGCAAAATAGTGAGTGGCGCGCGCTAAACGACATCGGGCGCGCAGCGAAGACTGGCGCGCGGCAAACAGCGGCGCGAAGCAAGGTGCGCATGTGCTAACGTGGCGCTCTCTTTCTTTCAACGCACGAGCGCTGATGCGGCGCCCTCCTCTTCTTGGTGCAGATGACGATGGCGGCCTCCTCTACAATGACAACGACGATGGGCGATCGCGATAATGACGCGGCGACGATCGCTGCGACAGCGGGAAGCAGCTCTGATACCAGTGCAATCAGACTTGTCTTCACTCGCTCAGCATGCATGCAAACAGGTGACGATCAAACTTGGCGCATGGCGCCCACACAAATCTCAGAGATAAACGTGGGCAGGAACACAGCTCGGATTCAAACTTGTCTTCGATGGCTATGGCGCAGGGCGCCAGACAAAGATTCCCACCCGATCAACTGTATCCTCCAGCAACTTGTTCACACACACGCACGCACACGCTCACTCTCGGATCTCCCTGGATGTCCCGCACACATACACAGACAACACTTATACACACACTAACCTATCAGCTATGGCTGGCTTCTTCCTCCTCCTACTAACTACCTCGCGGCTATGGCTGCGCCTTCCTCCTCTTAGCCCTCTTCTTCTTCGGGCACCTGCAGACCTCCGTAGCACAAGACGATGCGACAGCGCTTCCGCACGNGGCTATGGCTGCGCCTTCCTCCTCTTAGCCCTCTTCTTCTTCGGGCACCTGCAGACCTCCGTAGCACAAGACGATGCGACAGCGCTTCCGCACGGTTCACAGGCAGAATGAATGAAGGACTTGACGCTGCCTCTTTATTTATACTTCGGATCGTCGCTGGTCTGCCCTTGGACCCTGGGCCGGGGTGCACACAGTCCCAAATGGTACTTGCTGACTAGACAAAGTGCGACCGGGACTGGGTACCGCTGACTGGACTAAGTAGGACTAGGACTGCCCTTTGCTGACTCAGCTGCGGACCGACTCCTAAGACCTACGAAGAGCCAGTTCTGGAGCGTCCGGAAGGTCGTGGACTTGACCTTTCGGAGCTGCAGTTACTATGACCTGTACTGACCCTAGGACTGCTAACACTAAGGTCTATGGGTCAAACCCCTGGCGACTGCACTATTTACAATAGTCGGGCATTCGACTTTCAGAAGCCAGGTCGTGGGTTCAAACACACGGGTAAACGGATACTGTACTCGGGTACGGGGGAAGCTCTAGGGATCGAGCCCCGGGGTAATGCATCTGTCACCATAATAGGTGAAAACTGTTTCACTTACTATGGCGGGGGCCCGGGGAGGGGGACCTGGCTTCAACGGGCCTACTGGTTTCCCCCCGAATGGAACACGGTCATAATAGTTGTATTTGGGGTAATCCTGAGTCCCAATATAGTGTAAATCTAGTGTGGTGGACCACTGGATGATCCAGCACAGCCAACGTGCGAACATAGCAAAGCAAGGATAGCCAATGTGACTTATCTCGTAGCGAACATAGCCTAATATACAGTGGTGCAGTCTCAAAGCGGAAAATGGCAGCAAGTCTCAGTGAGGCTGGGTCTGGGTCTTTTTTCAGATGCCAGATTCTCCAAGTTATTTTTTTTTCTGCTCTGTCACAGTTATCTTTTTTTTTTTTTTTTTTTTTTTTTTTTTCCGTTTATGGTTATCTGTATTTCTTGTTTACAATTTGCAAGGAATTAAAGTGGCTGATGTATAAAAAAAAGTCAGGCATCTTATCTATTGTGGGTCACAGCTGGGTGCAGACGCAGAGCCAAAATCATCCTGATGAACTGTGGATAGAGGGACTTCAGGATTACATAAAGTATGCTGCAAAGCTGATGGTGAGTTGCATCTGCCTTCTTTGTCCTCCCTTCACAGCTGGTTGGTCTCTTTTTCTTTTTTTGCTTAATATTGCATTTTCTTTGCAGGATTGAGAGGTGCCACCATAGTGTTGTTGTCTGTGCATCAGTGCTACAGGATAAGAGTTGATCCAACATTGTCCGTCAACATCTGGTTTGGAATATAGACAGAAATAGTTGTTGTCAGTTGACATCCGGTTTGGAGGATATAGACAGAAATAGATGTGGATGGGTTAAGCCTGGCCATCAAAATGGCATCGATCTCATCTGTAGTTGTGAGTCCGTCTCCGTCCTGAAGAAACCTGGTATCTGTTTCCTTGTCATGGAACCCGACTGTGAGATGGTGAAAATTTGCGGATTGGTGAAGGCGAATGTCAGAAAGCGCACGTCTGGAAGGTTTGTAATGATGGCCAACTGATGCTGAAACGAAGTTGGTTCTACAACACTATGGAAGCCACTAATGCTGAAACGAAGTTGGTGCTACAACACTATGGAAGCCACTAATCGTCAAAAGAGAGGCACCTTGGAAGTCCACCTTTCGGTTGCACGAATGGCGCAGATTCACGGCCTTGTACAAAAAAAAAAGATCTGCTGCAAATCTGGGCCGTTCGCATGCATGGTCGGCTCAGATCTGCGGCCAATCTTGGTTTTGGGCGATTAGCTGCGAATCTGGGCTTTCCTCCAACGAATGGCCCAAATTTGCTACAATTTTCTTCTTTGCGAAAAGACCAACTTGGAGGCTGATCTAGGAGGGTGTTACTGGCCAATGGGCTATGTGACGTGGGAGGCCCACACCAGCCCGCTACCTCTCACACAACACTGCCAACACCGGCCTGTCAAACCCACCATGCCTTCACCATCCTCCACCAACGCTTCTACGTGCTGCCACCATGCACCCACCTCTAACAGCTGTGGCATCAATGCCCTGCGCCCCCTGTGTGCTCTTCTGACACACACACACACACACACACACACCGCATCTGACCCACCCGGTTCTCACCCCCCTGACCCGCCCCTTTCTCATCCAACTAGCCCCGTTTCTTCCCCTGCCCCAAATGACATTGACCCGTCTTCTGGCTACCTGATGGAGCCCCGGATTGAAGATCGTCTCTCTCCGGAGCGCATACTAGAGCCAATTGGTCAAGACTGCAATGAGTCTCCTCCACCTGTGCAATCTGCAGAATCGAACGAATCTCCTCCTGCTGTGAACGAATCTCCAGCACAACCCGCGGAATCCAACAATGTCATAGCGCTACAGCGAGGCCGCTGTGCGTACTATGCCATCAATGCATGTCTCCTTGCCTACAATTGTAACCCTTATTCGGTTGCTGATTTCGCAGACGTTGTCCGCTGGATAGAAGAAGAGCACCGTGCCGTATGCCCAGAGGACGACAGTGCTGCACCTGGTGTGAACATAGAAGTCCTGGCTATGGCATTTATGGGTAGGCGACTACAATTCCAGCCTGCCCC